AAATATGTGTTTAATTATATATATATTCACCTAAACATCCTTGCACAGAACTTCCCCATGTATAAACATTTCCATTTCTGATAAGAGCAACATGAGAAAATCCTGCACACAATGGTCTTCTCTTGAAATCAGCACCAGAATTAGAATTGTTGTGATCCTATTTTAAATTACATAAATATATAATTATTTATTAAAACAAAACATTAAATAGCTTTTATCATATATAATAATTACCTTCTTAAGAGCTAATAAATCAATATTATATGTAGTAGATTCTTGATGTAAAATAGATTTTTTACAAATCAAAGTCAATAAAATTAGTAAAAAAGTTTCTATGATTTCTTCTATTAATGTATCAGCCTCATCCTATATGAAAAATAAATATCAACTATGAATAATTAATAAATAATAATTATATATATGAATAATTAATTAATTAATTAATTAATAAAACATAAACCTACATTTTCCATGAGATCTATAGAATCACATTGACTAGATTGAGAACTATGCGAAGTAGCTCTATGACGTAATCGGCATCTTACTACTCTAGGTCTTATTACTGGATTCGTTGGATCGTATAGTGTTACTAATCTCTAAAAAATATTTATTATAATATAAAAACAAAATTATTTACATTATTGTATTATAAATATAATCTAAATCTTACTTGCAATACAAAAATTTGAGAATTTTGAAGATTATCAAGTATAAATGAAATGTGATTCCTAGCTAACTCAGGATATATTAACATTGCTTGCATTAGATTTGGTTCACTTATACATATTAATAAGCCATCTAAAATAAAATAAATATTTTATAAATATTTGTATAATTATTTCTTATTTTCCAATTTTTATAATTGTTATAATTATATATTACATGGTGTTGGTTGAAAATTGCTTATACTGAAATTATGTATTGTCCTCATAAGAATATCTAACATTTGTCCATAAAGACCTTTTTGTGTTGCTAAATGATGCAACACTTCCCATAAACACGTTTGTCCAGCGATGTTAACCGCTAATAACTCATCGTAAAAAGAATTTGTAGATAAAAAATATCTACAATTCAAATGATTTTTATTATATAATTTTCCTTAGAAAATTTATTAGTTATATCTAAAAAAAGTTTTAATTAAATGCTTACAAAAATTCTTTATATATAGCTTTGGACTTCTGAGATGAAATTCTAAGTGTCCGTTCAATAAAAGCTAAAACACATAAATTAGAAAGATGTATTCTTGGTGCAACAGGTAATTCACTAATAGCTGGAGAAGCTAAACAATGTGTAAGACAACGTAATAAATCTGCTGTATATCCAACAGATGCAAATTTTAACATGCTCTTCATTATTCTACACTGAAAAAAAAAAATTATATAAAAATTAAAATATATTAATCTGTATTATTAGAAATTATATTATATATCTTTTTTATATTTACTTACTTTAGATAATTTATAACAAGCTACTGCACGTGGAAATTCTTTATTCATTAAAAGTATATCACCAGCTTGCTCTAATAATTGTTGTGCATTAATACCGAATATTATAGCTAATTTCGCTGCTTTTTCGAGTTCATTATTTTTTAATACTAATTCCATAAAAATTGATAATATTGATTTTCTATAAAGCCAAAAAAAAAAATAATTATTATAAATAATTATATTATTATTCATATATTATATACATAATTATTATTATATTAATAATTATTATATTATTATATATAATATAATTATTATATATTAAAGTAATAAAATATAATAAATATAATATTAACCTTAAAACAATTTTATATACAGAATGATTTGTTACAATTATACATGTATCCACATGAGGTAATTTAATTTTAATATCTTTTATTCCCTTTGGTAATGTATATTTATTTTTAATTTCTTCAGAAAGTATTGTTGGTGAATTATTTGTACAATCAATAGCTCTGTACACAGCACGTATTACTTCTTTACTATTTATTAAAGAAAAGTGACCAACAATGCACTCTGGATTAAATTTACCATTATCATTTCTACGAGTTTCAGATAATCTATCTGATATTACATACATTATACGTTGACTAACATCAGTAATAAAAAAAAATCGTTGAGTTAATAAAACATTTCTACATGATTCAAATACTTTATGTGCTGATAGAGGTACAGTAGTAAAATTAGGTCCATATACCTATAATTATAAAATTATTTTTATATTATATTTATTATATAATTATATTATATAATTTTTCAATAAAAATTAATTATTTTTAATCAATAAGAATTAATTAATTAATTTCTATACCAATATTTGACTTGTAATAGAATGGTAACATGTATACAATTGATGTCCTTCCCTATCTAATTGAGACATTAGAAATACTTCTTTTGACATCACTTCTGGTGTTATTTGATTCTGATTTACTTCTGTAGAAGATTCAGAATTAATAGTTGTATTTTGAGTATTTCGATTATTTGTAATATCTGCAAAATAAATAAAATTTCATTAATAATCAACAATAAAGTTTGATTTCAACATCATATTATATAATATATATAACCATGATACTGCAAATTTTCTCCTAATGTCTGACTTTTTGTTTCTATTAACTTTTGTCTGAGTATTGCAAGTTTGTCCACAGATAATTGCTTGAGTCCTTGCAATCTAGATCTAGTAGAAGCAAATATTTTGGTATTATCATATATGTTATCATTTGTATGTAACGCATTATATGATTCTCCATTTTCCAAATGATGTAAACAACTATATGTACGCTGTTCTAAAAGTAATCTCCATTGTCTTCTGGATTGACTTGTTATCAGAAGAGATACAATGTCATTACTTTGGTCACGACAAATGTGTAGACTGATGATATTTCCCTTAATTTGTGTAACATTTGTTTGATGGCCAGTTTCAAGATTAATAAATATAATCTCTCCATATTCAGTTCCAATGATACCAATTTCAGCAGGTATTAATGTACTTTGCCACCATACTATTGCAGTAGGTCTAAAAATTTTAAATTATAAAAATAAAATAAAAAAAATATTAAATCACAAATGATTTCTATATATCAATTATGATATATACTTTGAATGAGATGATTGTGAACTAATAGAAGGAAAAGAAGTTATATCATCACTGGTCCATCTTTTATCTTTCTCACAATTTTCATCTACAAAGCACAGGGCAGGAATTATATATACAGATCCATCAACACTTGTAGATAACAACCATGATCCCATGGAATGAAAACATAAAGCTGAGATTTGTTTATGAGATCCTTGAAACCAAGGTATCCTTCTAATTATTGCAGTAGATGTTGAATTTTTTTTATAATATAAAAAAATTTCAGCATTTCCTGTTGTAAGTGCTAAAAATAATCTTTTTCCATATTCACATTGTGCACTATGTTGTATATTTGTTGCTTTAATTAAACATTGTAATTTAAATAGACTTTCTTCACTAAAATTTATCATTGGCTGAAAGCCTTCTGTGCCTATTTCTGCAATCATTATATTGAAAATGATAATTTTAATACTACCTGAAATATAAAATGATTTAAACAGATAAATTTTACCTGAAATTATCCATAAATTAAAAAAAATTTTATTAAAATATCATATATATAATATATATATAAAAATACAAAAATATGTATTTACAATACTGATAATATAATTTATTTTCTCTTTTTATCAAATCCTAAATTTATAAAAAAAAAATTTTTATTAAAAATATCATATATTGTAAAAAAAAATACAAAAATGTATATTTATAATGCTTAAGTTAATATAATTTTTTTCTCTCTTTTTTATCAAATCTTAAATTTAAAATAAAAATTTATATATGTATATATATCAAATACCTAATGCATTAAAATCTACTTACAATATAAATTTAAAAAGTAAATAGATAGAAAAATTAATTATAAAATTCCACAAATTTAAGCATTTAAATCAATATAATTATTAATTTTAAATATATAATAAATTATTTATAACACGTAATCTAAACATGCAATATTTATATAACATGCAAAAATTTATATAACATTTATTATATTTCATTTACTATTACGATTGCAAGATATGTTAAACACACAAATCAAAAAGTTATTATGGGCTATTATACCTGTATTTATGCAATTGTAAAATAATACAATTGATGAGAAAATTTTGCCTATTAAGAAATTCTTTTTGCGCCAAAAAGAAATGATTGAAAAAGAAATCTAGAACAAATTTCACATTGCGCATTCCGTCGAAAACGTATTATTTTTTTCGCATATAAGATATTTCAAAAAACTGATTATTTACATCACATTTTTACAAAATTCTGCCGTCAAATTTCTAAACGTCAGAATATCAAGGTTAGATTGCATTATAATCAACAGTGCAGCCATTTGAAAAAATTAAAAACGCTAGTATATTATGTAAACTGACATTGATAATATTTGATATTGTAATTTTTTTCTAAATTATTCAATTAAAATTTAAGTAAATTTAATAGAAATTGTTAATATTTTGCTTAATTTTAGAAAATAATATTAAAAAGAATAATATCTATATATTTAAGTAATAATGAAATTGATAATTATGCACCATAGATTAAATATACAATAGATTTGCCATTTAATGCTCTAGAGATGCTGTTATTTCCCTAATTTTTATCATATTTTTTATTTTCTGTATTTATTTTTGCGCTTATTACAAATAAGATGTTAATAGAATATACTTTCATATGTGTTTTAATACTGCGTGTTTACAATAAAAAATATTGATATAACTTTCTCAGTTTTCTAGAACTCAATGCAAAACAATCTCGCAAAATATACTATATTTTAATATAACGCGAGTTTATATATAAGCATTGTAATATCTTTATTGAATTTGAATAATTTTAAAAAATTCATATTCTTCTTAGTCAATGCTATTCATATACAAAATATTTTTTATAGGAAAACAATTCCTAATAATTTTCTACATAATTAAATGTTGGTAGTATTTGTATCATATTTCATATACTATTGTCATTTGAAGTACGCATCGAAAAATGGTGGATGATAGTAGGAATCGACAATTTAGTATTGAATATCTTAAATTTAAAGAGTTTTAAGTGAAACAATATATTATACATTTTACTTGTAACTCAAAACATTGAGAATGGGTTCAAATAAACGACATAAGACCGAGAAGAGCCGGGATACTAAGAAGAAGCGTCATCGTAGCCGTTCACGAAGTTATACGCCTGAACGTGAGAAATCGGAAAAACATAGGCATCACAAAAAGCATAGAAGGAAAGAACGCAAGGATTATGACAGCGATGGTTATTATCTGATTCATTCTTATTAAACTATACGAATATGTTGTACGATGGTTTTCTTAATATCGCGTATTTTATTATAAATTATATACCGCTTTGCAAATGTAATTGTTTATGAGCGGTTAGATAAGCTAAACTTTTAATTTATCTTCGTTGTTCCTCGTTCCTCATTCATCGTTTCGAAAGTAATATCGTGTTTTATCTGCGCAGAAATGTATTTATCGATTTCAAGTACAAGATTAAATAATTTGGAGGAAATCAAAGCAAATAATATATATACTTTGCATAGGTACATAAGCATTTACTATGATGAGCATACGATATTTAATATCAGTTAATACTGCGTTTATTTTATTTCAGTTGAAATAGTTAATGCACCTCCTCCACCAAAAATCTCTAAGTCTTCACATCCGTCAACACCTCCACCTCCTGAAATTTCTAAGCAGCATAGTCCTTCGCCAAGTAAAGGTGGAACACAAACTTCCTTATCTATTGAAGAAACTAATAAATTAAGAGCAAAATTAGGCTTAAAGCCATTAGAAATTGATAATGCTCCAAAAGATGATCCTAACAAAATTAAAGATGATTTGGGAGAATTTTATCATAAACCTGCTCCTGATGTTAATGAAAAATTAAAAACTCAGAAATTAAAGGAAAAAATTGGTACTCAAAAACAAAAGAGATTAATTGAGGCTAATTTAGCAAAAGTAAAAAGTTTAGGTGAATGTGATTCTGATGATGATACTAAAAATTGGGTTGATAAAAGCAGACGTTTAGAGGAAGAGAAGAAAAAAGCAGAAGAAAGGGTATTTTTAAAATGTTTTTATTTATACATTTAGTATAAATTTTTAATTAGTATTTTAATTTCTTCTCTTTTCACATAAGGCAAAAATGTTAGATCAATTAGATGAGGAATTTGGAATTGGAAATTTGGTTAAAGAAGAAATTCATGCTGCACGTAATTTGGCTTATACTGAAAAAATTTAAAAGGCCTCAAAGTAGAACATAATATTGTAAGTATTTACATTTATATATAATTCTAAAATTTATAATAAATAAAATTGTTAAATAAATAATAGGATAAATTTGAAGAAGGCAAAACAGTCATCTTAACATTAAAAGATCAAGAAGTATTACAAGAAGGAGAAGATGTACTCGTTAACGTAAATATAACGGACGAGGAACGTTATCAACGCAATATTTTAAATAGATCTAAAAAGCCCGGTTATGATGCATACGATGACGATAATTTTGATGAGTTTGGTTTTCCAAAAAAAACAATTTTGGAAAAATATGATGAAGAAATTGAAGGAGAAAAAAAGGAAACTTTCACACTTGGAATTAATAATATTAAAGATGTTAAGCAAAATAAACTCGATTATGTTAAGCAACGTTTAGCGAATAAGCGGATAGAATCATTACATTTAGCAGAACCAAAATTAGCTAGCGAATATTATAATGAAGAAGAACTTGCGAAATTTAAAAAACCAAAGAAAAAGGTACTTCTTTGAAATATAATTTTAATGCCTTTTTTTGCATAAAATATAAATTAATATTTCATTATATTATTACAGGTTCGAAAGATTAGAAAAAAATTAAAAGCTGAGGATTTAATTCCTGAAGATAATGATTATCTTCGGGATCTTGGAAGTAGAAGAAGCAAACGAACAGATGATGTAAAAGATAATGATACTTTAGATATAGATGATTTAGAGGGTATTTATATTTTTATATAAATTATAATAGTTTTTTAATGTTTAATTTTCATAATTTTAATTATTTCATTGTTTAAAATTTTATAAATTCGTATCTTTTTATTCTAAAATCAAGCTCCTACTGAAGATCTTACTGGAATCAAATTGGAAGAAGATGATAAGGAATTGGAATTACAATTAGCATTGAAAAAAGCTCAACGATTAAAAGAATGGCAATCGTCAAGTATCGAAAAAGTTACAGAAACTATAAAACAAGAACCTGCAAGTTCAGAAGAAAATCAATCTGGAAATATTGTTCTTAATGCTACTGCAGAATTTTGTAGAACATTAGGAGATATTCCTACTTATGGTCTTGCTGGAAACAGAGAAGAGAATGGTCAGGAATTGATGGTATAAAATTTATTTTTATTTATTTATTTATTTTAATCTTACATATAATGTTATTTATATTTTTTCTTAATTTTTTTTTAATAAAAACTATAATTAATAGGACTTTGAAATGGATGGTGTTAAAGAAGAACCACCCGTGAACGAGGAAGAAGATGATGGTCGCGGTGCTTGGAATACCGTACATTTAGGTATCTCTCTCTTTAATATCTTTTTTTTTTTCAGTGTTTTATTTATATACTTATTTATTTATATATAAATATTTTTTATATTTTATAAATAGATGAAAGCACATCAGAACCTATAGCTATGGAAGCTGCGATTTTAGACGCAGAGCCTTCGCTTGGACATGGCGTTGGTGGAGCATTGAAACTAGCTATGAGCAAAGGTTATTTGCAAAAAGAGGACAGCAGTAGACCATCTGCATCTCGTTTTGCACATTTACAAGCTCAGAATTATTCGATAGAAGACAAAACTTATGGGTATGTATAGAACGTAACTATCGTTCAATAAAAGAAGCTTTCTTACATAGTTAAAAAAGAAACGAATGTAAAAAACATTCTTTTATTGAATGCATGAACCAAACGAATCTTGTTAGACGAGTCTCTAGTGAATTTCAAACTGTTAGTTAACAGTCATAAATAAGAGAGCTCAGATTTCGGTGCTCGGAAAATGGATGATCTACTACCGCAACAAGAGATTAACTACTTTGTCGGAGATGAAAGGCCTGAGAAGAGAGTAGGATTGATAGAGGTATGTTTATATTATGCGATTCTATTCCGAGCAAGATATGTATGGACGTTCTAGACAAGTTCACATATGAATTGAAATTGTATTAATTTAATGAATAAGAAAATTATATCTACTATATATACATCATTGACAGTAGAGATTTATATTATCATTTTATATTTGCATGTTCAAATATGTAAAATTATTATAATAATCTTCAAAATATGAACTTTATGCATCTTCGTTTGAATTTTGATATTTATTGATATATGTTTTGCTAAATATATAATATATATATTATATATAATATATAAATATTATAATATATCTTTAAAAAAGATTATAATTAATAATAATTTAAAACAATATATTTATATATATACATAATTAAATATAAAGAACATAACTTATTACGATAATTATATTGACTTGTTTAGATTCGTATTAATTTAATCGCATAATGTAATGTATCTTGGAAACTTAATAATTTTTCTGTTCGCGGTTAATTTCGAAACACCGAATTCCACGAGCTACTATCAATTTTTATATTTAAATAAAATTTAAAAATTATTTTTTATTTTTCTTCTTTTAGAGATGATGATAAATTTGGAAGAAGAGATCGTTTTAATGGTCCAACATCAGAATTTAAAGAAAAAGAAGGTTTCAAACCAAATGTTAAATTGGAATATATCGATGATGACGGCCACGTTTTAAGTGCAAAGGAAGCTTTTCGATATCTTTCACATAAATTCCATGGAAAAGGACCAGGAAAAAACAAGGTCGAAAATTTTCTATATTTTTCTCTTTCAATTCATAGAGAATAGGAATTAAACATAGTTTTATAATTTATAGGTCGAGAAACGAATGAAAAAAGCAGAACAAGAAGTTTTAATGAAGCGAATGTCTTCTACAGATACACCTCTAGGAACACTTAATTTATTACAAGCAAAGCAGAAAGAAACTCAATCTCCATATATAGTACTCAGTGGAAGCAAACAAATGCAAACGTAAAAAATTTAATATTATTTCAATAAGTATCAAAAAATATTTTTTAACATGTTTTAATTAATTTTTTTTTTTTCAGGACTAGTATATCAAAGTCAAAACATTAAGTCAAAAAGCTTATTTCAATGAAAGTTGTATATAACATAGAAGCAAAAGAAATGTCTTATCGGTATACTTTTTCAAACAAATCAATAGATTAATCGTCGTAAAATGAATAATATTGCACATTTTTTCCTTTGATTTGTTAATCTACTTATATAATAATAAAACAATATTTGTGAGTTTATAAAGAAAATTAATTTTTGCGGGTTTTCCCTAATTTTCTGGATATTAATTTTTAATTATTATTTAAAAAATATCAATTTAGTAATATAATGATTTATTTTATATTTGAAGTTTTGTTATAAGGAAATATTACATTTTTTATCTTCACATATGATATGATTCAAATATTATATTACACAAAATTTCATAAGGCTTTATATTACAATTCAGATATGTTGAAGTAGTACATAAAATTTTTGACTATAGTTATCAGAGAAAATTACTTAAATTTTCTCAACATATATATATAAAATAGTATAAACTCATATCTTGTCACAGTTTTTTTGATAATGATATTCTATATATATTTAAAATATTTTTTTTTAATTCTTAATCAAATAAATTGACAGCTATCACAATAAAATTAAGTATTGGGAACAAACGATGTTCATAATTATATCTTATTAAAATAATACAATTTCTATATACTAACAGTAACATGTGCATAAAAGTTATAAATATTTTAACAATACAATTCATTTCTTAATTCTCAATCACAATTCACAATTAATTTCTACTTATCTATTCATACAAATCGCTATTCAAAAGATAAAGATAAAAATTTTAATACTATAAAATATTTTAATCTTTCTAACAATTACTATACAATTTACTGAATATTTTATTTTTTATCTAATACAATTATGAGAGATTAAAAATATTTATCGGTTTGTTAAATAAAATTGTGATAAAATATAATGACAGCATGATCTCTATTATTGATTTCGAGTATTTTTATAATTATGTCTTAATTTTTCATGTTTAAAAAAAGATTCGTTTCCACAAGAATGTTAATTAATAACGATATTAGATATAATATGTATATATCCCTGATATCACAAGGCTTTCCTTTGTGCAAAAATAGTAATATACTAATTTCTCAAATCTTACATGGTGCACAATAATTATATAAATTACATCTTATAAATATATCCCGAAAGTGTACAATATAGTTACATCACTTGATTTTATTTCTTAAAAATTCTTGCTATTTATTATACATAATTTTTTTTTTCCTTTTTTCTTAAAAAGTTTGGCACGTCTTTCAACAGTTTATACAAAAGTAATAGGAATTCCTCCCAATGAAAAGAATTTTAATATTTTTTAATTATGATTTTCTTATTAAGGCAGCGATATATCTTATATTCTTAGTTAGAAATTTTTGAACAGCTTTAAAAGGCTATCAAAAATTGAAATTGAGTCACTATTAATCGTGAGAATTATTTTTGTTATTGAACAAAAATTTCATGCAATTATATTATTAATAAAAAATATATCATAAATCGAAATGTTTATTTCGTATTTACTTCTTAAACGAATTCCTATCAATTTTGTAATAATCACATATATATTTTGACGAATTTTTATTTTAATTTGAAAAAATTGATATCATATATAATTATATAGAATATCAAACAATATCCCCAATAAATTATAATTATTTATACTTCTATTATTTTGCAAAACTTAATATAAACTGTTTCTTGTGTTGTTTGTTATGTCATTTTGAATTCTAATTTCTCAATTGTGATTTATATATTTATATTATATTTATAGAAGTATTTTTTTTTTTATTCTTCTATAATCAAATATTTTTTGTTATTAACTTAGTTTTGTTCTAAATCTTTTGTGTATGTATATACATATATATGTTCTTATGAATAAATTCAATTATATTTCTGACAATTCGCCAAATTTTTATATATTATAAATTGACTTTATTATTTTTGTTTTGTTTCATTCTCTATCACATAGTATTAAATCACTGATATAAGTATTATATAAAGAGAATGCAAGTCTTAGCATATTTGACAATCTATTTTTTATAGACAATATTTTTCTTAAGAAATGAAACTTGATCATTATTGTATCAAAAACTATTTGTATATAAGAGAAAATAATGCATGTGAAATGTAGAGTAAAAGTAAAATATAAATTATGATACAATACAAGTTAATATTTAATTTTTTGGATAGATTTTTCTTAAGTTAGTTATCTTCCAAGGTATCTTTTTTGAGCGCAATATCATTAGCAATTGTTATCTATTTAATGTTTCCATATTCTGATTCTGAACATTCTTGTTTATGCCTTCTTCTTGATTACTTGGACTTGAAAGTCTTGCTGGTTTGATTGATTTTAATTTCGTTGTACCACCATATCTGAAATTCACATCACTACAAGTATCTAAAGGATGTATTGTTCCTGTTAAATTCGTTACATCATCATCAGTAGTAACTTCCAATTTAGTAATTGGTACTTTTTTAACAGATCCTAATTCGTATGCTGACTTTGATGACTTCAATTTCATTTTTGTGTTTAATGGTAACGAAACTGACTTCTCCAAGTTGACTTCTTGAATTTTCAAATTATTATCATTCTGCACGATATTTTGCTCTTCAACTGAATTTACTGTATCTGTGATTTGAATATCTATATTTACCGTTTTCGGATCATTTTCATCATTTCTAACATTTTGCTCGTTCGCATATTCGTTTCTAAGAGCAGCCAATTGTGCTCGTTGTTTCTGAATATGATTATGCGAATTCGAGAAGAATGAAGAAACTCTTTCAAGTTTTGTAGCCAAGTTTGGTTGACTTAATGTAGACTTTAAAGGATAAGGAGTATCCATTACATTATTTTTTAAGAAATTGTGAGATTCTCTACCTGTGGAGTTACTTTTAATCATTCCAATTTTATTATTATCCTCGATTACTTTTAGAGGATATGATCTACCGATTGTACTTCTTCGTTTCTCAGCTAAACTTAACTGAGCGATTATTCGACGAATCTCACCGGGAAATTCGATATCTGATCGAGTTTCAGATAATTGTTGAATAAACGCACCTAACGTGGCAACAGTCACTTCTAGACTACGATTTTGAGATTCTAGTTTAAGCAAAGTGGATTGTTGTACAGATCGTGCTGTTTCCAAACGATGTAAGTTACTCATAGTCATCTATAAATTAAACACATTTTTTAATTATAATTTTAGAAATATTAAATCTGCATTATATTAGATAAAAGTAATTTTAAAGAATCTTACTTCAAGTTGTTCATTAAGTTGTGTGACTTCTTGTGTAAGTTGCTTATTAAGTAACTTGAATTTCTCTAAACTTTCGATTTGCGGTTTTACCGACATCATTTCTTCCTGCAATACTTGATACTCTACTCTATACTCGTTTAATTGTTTTGTAATCTCTTGATCTGGATAAAATACACGTTTCATAACTCGATCTAGAATCTCTTTATCTACAGCTGATACACGTGTCTAAAATCAAAAGAAAGATTTAAAAGCGAAAAATCTTTATTATTGGAATTTAAATGTAAAAAATATTACTTTGAGATATTCCATAATTTCTTCAAAACTATCACACTTTAATAATTGATCCTGATGTTCCTGCAATAATGCCATCGATACTCGAAAAAGTACTTCAGTGCTTTCTAAGAAAAGTAAATCTATAAAAACAAATATATATGAAATAAATATTTGAAATCATAAATATAAATAATTATGCAATTAAAAAAATTAATTTTTCTTATTTAACTTACCAAAAACTCTAGTTACGAAACCAAGTGGAAATTGACTGGCAAATAAAGTTAACAACCATGGTGCAGCATATAAGGTAGGTGAAACTTCATGTTTATCAAAATGATTATAAATTGGTGCTAACCTATCATGTAATAATCTGGATAATTGATACAGGTACAATTGTAATGCTGCCATGTCAGGAAGATATAATTTCCTTAAGCCCCTTCGAAACATTAAATGTCGCAAGAGAAAAAATGCCTGATCTTCTGACATCTATTAAAAGCAATATAAAGAAAAGCAAAATGACATTTAATAAATCACATTTTATAAAATAAATTTTATTGATAAAAATTAAATATTTGAATATGTAATAATTATAAAAATATTTCCACTTACATGTAAAAGAAGAACACCAGCTACAAAACTAAGACCTTGGCAATAACCAACCTCATGATCTAAAAGTGAATAAGCTTTTAATAAATTAAATAAAGCTAATTGTCCAGGACCCAAAGGAGAACTGAAATATGGATGATTTGGAAATGTTCGTCCTAAATCTATTAAAATTGCATGTTGTTGGGACGTAAGTTGTTTCAAAAGTAAATCATATGGTGTGTTATAATTAGGAAAATCACGTGTATCTATAGGTGGTTGCTTCAAACAAAATTGCTCGGCCAAAAATTGCCATACTTCTCCTCTTTTCCCTTTTGGTACACCTATATCAATATTATTATTATAATATTAATTTAAATTTCTAAAATATTACTTTCAAGTATTTTAAAAAATAAATTTTTGTCATCTTACCTTGCTTAATAGCTTGTAAAAGCATTTGATTATCACATTTCGTAGAAACTCTTGATTCTTTGCTTACAAGAAGATCCCATACTTCTACTAATTCACGAACGCAACTACTAAGCTCGTCATATTCCAATTTTATTCTTTTAACAGTCGCTTCTTCTTGACGAACTAAAATCACATATATTTTTGAACGATTACATAAAGAAGCACAATTTTTTATTATTAAAAATAAATATAAAATAGTATATTACCTCTAAGTCTTGCATTTTCCTTCTCCATTCTTATAAGTATTAATTGTTGATTGATAGCTTTTTTCCAAAGATCTCTTAATTCTTGTTTCGTTTTACGTATTGGCGGTGTCTGAGGTACTTTAATACCAATATTTTCTGTTTTATCATTTTCTTTTTCATGATCTTTATTAGGAGTTACAACTCGATTCAATATAGCTTGTCTCCATGAGCTATTTGACTGTACTGAGTTGTTTCCATCTGTCTCTGTTGGAGACATTTTTGGTGAATTTCCCACTTTTAAAAATCTATTCAAAAGTAATAAAAATAAAAAATAAAATAAAATCAATTGATTTTATAAATAAATTTTTACAAATATTTATTATTTATACTTTATTATTTATACTTTATATATACTAATATTGTAGAAATTAGACATACATGTCCATCATAGAACTCTTTGGTCCAGTATTCACAGTCAATTGTTGTTCAGGTGAAACCCTTAAAGATCTGGGTCTACTAGAATCCGGTGAAGTATCAATTATAGACGACTGTCGTGAATTATCAGGGCTTTGGCTACCGCTTTTATGTATCACAGTATTAAGATGGCTCAGATCTCTCAGATGCGAACCAATTCCAAGGTCGTCCCGCGAACCCTTTCTCTTCATGAGATTATCAAAACTATTTGTAAGCGAACGTTTTGCTTTTTTAAATATTGTGCTCCCAACGCCTACGCTTAAGTACTGATTAAGAAATTCACTCCTGCAATTATAAAAAAAAATTGTAATATAAATAAAATTTACATTTTTTAAAAACTTTTTATGCAAACTTTTCTTTTTTAAATTTTACCTATTCTCAGCTGTATCATGAACATGTCTAGCTTGTTTTGCTTCGCAATGGACTCGTAAAAGCCTTATTAAAAATTGATTTTGTTCGCGTAAAGTTGTTCCTGTGCCGCCAGCAGCTTCGGCGTTTTTATATTTGCTAACGACAATTTCTTGTTCATCTTCTGGTAGCATTTCCATCCGCGAAAAAATTATATTCTGAGTCCTCCTGTCATTTTGTCCTAAAACCATAAGTAAAAATATATATTTGTTATTTATTTTAATTTTATTATAAATTAAAAGAATACATTTAAATATATTTGTAAATTACCTTCGATTTCCTGGCATAACTTGCTATACCAATACATGGGGCAGTGTTCGCATGAAAACACGGAATATCGTTCTTTTCTTGGAACTTCGCATGTCCCAACAAACGCTTGTGATATTGCTAAAACAATTCGTGCAACCTTTTAAATTGTTTTGTTTAAAATTTTTTTTTAATGAACTGATATTTTAATGTTTTTTACATTGTGTTAAATCAAATGTACTTGATTAGAAACAATGGAACTTCTATATTTTTAGTCGAATATACAGGGTGTTCTATTAGTGATGGAATCTGCTTTACCAACGAAGTTGACACTGAAAAATGATAAAGAATTACTTATCATGAAAATTACCAGTATCAAGCTTAATTTCTTACATTAATTACTAAAATATAAAGGAAAAAGAAGAAAAAAAACGAATTATATATTAATATGAATTTTTTCCTTTGCTGTACCGGTATTATTTTATAAAGCAGATGCCATCAATAAATGACAAAAAATTCATCTTACCAGCCACAAGATCATCTGCAACGGATTCCGATTGACACTTAAATATATAGCCAATGAAAAAATCCATATTATTCTCTTTGCAAATAAAACCAAAATGCTCTGGATTTTTAATGCCTTGTACACAACTTGCCACATCTCTGAGTTGTTTATGAAGCAGTACCTGTTTTCTATCTGGACTGATTAATCTTAAATCATGTCGGCCTACCTGAAGTTTAAATTTATATTAAGATGCGTTTTAATACAAGTTTTAAATATCATAAATGGAATAAAGTTCAAACCTGGAAGAGCATCGTGCGATTATGTTCATCACTCCCTCGTGCAATGGAATCTCTCCTAGTATTCAATACGCTACCCGTGGAGGACGCTCGATTTCGCATAACTTCCGGTACTTGCATAGAATTATTGTTTGTAATATCTCGATTCTCTTCATCTTTTTCTGAGAAATTAGCGTTTTGCGGTTTTGGAAACGTTTCCACAGATCCAGTGAGTGTTGATGGTACACCAAGTGAGTTAACCACAGGTATGATACCACTTCCAGAAACATTTTCAATACTTCCAGTTTCGCTAGCACTGGATTCCTGAAACAAGAAAAATTTTTTCGATATTATACATATTATTTATTAATTATTTATTAATTAGAATTAAGAATTAGAAAATCAAGTTATACCGTGCTATTTCTTCTATTATTGGAAGACGTTAAAAGTGATTGTCGCTGATATTCGGCGAGAAAATTATTCGCCGATGATCTCGATTTCTCAAGACCGTGAACACGAAATCTTACTAATGCATCATCTATAAAAGTCTCCGATACCTTTGGATGTGATACTTTGATTTTTCCCACATAAAGCACCTGAAAATAAATATTTATCAATTTTAATTTTAAAATAAAATTATTATAAAAATTTATAAAATTTTTCTTTGAATTAAGGATTATAAATATTCTCTAATTTCTAAAGATCATTGTTTTATTATCATTTTCTTTATTATTTATTTGAGGTATTATTTAGTAATAGTAATTTAGTAATTTAATAAATAGTAATTTAGTAATAGTTATCAATAATAACAAAATTAATGATAATAATTAATATATATCTTATTATTATAAAACTTCTACTTTTATTACAAATTTTTTTTAATAAAAATTTTATATAATTTAAGTAGAAAAAGAAGAAAAATTAAAAAAAAAATCACCTCGAAAAAATGAGAAGAACTGGGAGATATATCAGCACCTAAGGACATCAGACTGGCTGCACTGCTTTGCGATCTTTGAGGCACATCCCTATTTTCAAATCGAGACGAGGCTGAGTGTTCCTTCATGTCTCTTAGGAATTGCTGAACCTGAAAATAAGAATTATATTGAATTACAATCGTGCGATATATCATTATGGTATTTAAATTGCAATTTAATCCACAACAGATAATAATTATATTCATAATTAAAATCAATAATAATATTACAAAAATCATTTTATTTAATTTAATTAAAAATTTATCTTTATAAATATTAATAATTAATTGAATGAAATAGAAAAATTTAAGAATTAAAAAAAGATCAAAAACTTTTTTAAATCATTTTCAACTTATTTACGAAGCTCATAAATTTAGAAAATTGTTCAATTATTGTATAATTTAATGCCACTTAATGCTTATATTGCCACTTATTGCCATATAAATACTAACGATATTTTGAAAAGGAAAATTTGTCCCAGAAATAATCCAGAATGTAGCATTAAGTGCATCATTAATATACAAAACTGATTTCGCAACAAAACGTGAACCAAACGTGGCTGATGACCGTGGACCAAAATAAATTCAACTTCAGACTATTCATCAATCAATGTTTTCTAGTCTTTTTCTTTTTCTTTTCTATATTTTTTTTTCTAATTTTCTCAAATTTCATTGAATTACGAATTCATTATTTAATATCTTTATTTTTATCTTTTATTATATTTATTTTTTAAATGTTATATTCATTTATTATATATAATATTAATCTTAATTTAAATAATTTGATATTCGTGATCACTAAGTTACTTCAAATAATAGAATTGAAATAATTCTATTTGGTTTTATATTCAAGTTAGAAAATAACTTTCTTAATTAAAAATCAGTTACAATATTTCATATTTTATTTTTATTTGTGCAGCAACTTGCATAGTGCTGCTACTACGTATTAAGGTAGAATTTCAAACTAAGATAAATTCTTCGTGCATCGACAAATGCTCATCCAAGCGTTAGCAGTAAGGCTATCTAAGAGTTAGGTTACATTGATTTTCATGAATAATCTCACGTGAGATACGCAAATTCTTTTTCCAAATTACAGTGAATGTAGAATAATATTAAATACGTGTATGTGAAACATAGAAGAAAAAAAAAAGAGATAAAAAAAAAATGAAAACAAAAGAAGACGTGAAGATAAACTTTATAATCATAAATGTTCGAAAATAGGGAAATATTGGAAATACTAATCATAAACATTTCCGATATTAGAGAATGAATAATTAACAAAATAAAACAATGAACAATTTATTATGCAAATTATGCAAATCGCGAAATCAAAAGTGATTAGCAAACAGAAATGCGTCGAATGGACTAATGAAATCGATTAGAAAACAATTTATATCAATGAAAAAAAAAAAGATTATCCTAACGGATATAGTTATCTCAACGGCCGTGAGTCTTCTCGTGCGACAGAGAATTTCACCAGTATAGTTGCTGACACAGAAAGCAGATTGGCATAAAGCAATGGGGCTTCCTTTATCCAATTACTAGACGAGCTTTCTTTTTTATCATCCGGCTGATTCTTTCTTCTCCTACAAAATATGTACTAATACTTGATACTCACTCAATTGTAATCTATACAAAACAATGTATGTATATTGAAACTAATAAGATAATATTTTATTAAATATAATTTTTCAATCTTATGAATGAAAGTTGAAAGAATGTTTAAAATGAATGAATATATAAATTTTACTCTTGTGTGATTATTTTATTAGATGGTTTTTTATCATAAATTATTTGGAAATGATAAGAAATAAATTATTTGAAAATGATAAGAAATAAATAATCATAAAAAAATTACAATAGATGATAAATATAAATCTAGTTACATGAAAAACTATCACAATTGGTAGAATCTATTGAATTGTGATTTATTAGGTCATAAGAAAACTATTATAACTTCTCTTCTTACTTCTCAACTCAATTATACTTAACAAGAAGATCCTTGAATTGGATATAAATAACTTATTTCCTGTCGTCATATGTAAGTATAGTAACTATACAATAAGAAATTTTGCAATATTATTTTCATCTATTAAATAAGTCTCTGAAAAAAAAAAGCCAAGACTATTAAATCTTCAATCATTTCTAATACGTAACTTTTCTTCAATGAATAATTTAAAATTTTAATATAGTCTATTAATCTAATATAATCTAAAGTTCTAATCTAAAATTTAATTTTCTATGTTTCTTATGTCTATTAACTACAAATACAAATAGAAGAATTATGAAATTTTCACTTATGAGATTTTTAAGTATTATATATATATATATATATATATATATTATATCTATTATATGTTTCTCTATCTTATATGTTGTTCAATTGATCATCATTAATCTCAAAATATATAAATACATCAGATCATCAGAATAAACATACGTCTACGTCATAACGCTGGTCGATTAAGCTTGTGGAAAATTGGATTGAATATCTTCAAGAGCGACCCATTGAACTATTTCATCGAGTTGCAGTTAAATCGAAACGAATATATTTCATAAATCTTGCTCCTAAATTAAAGATCGACAATATGATCGACAATCATAAGAAAAGAGACGGAGAAATCGTGTCTGTCCATTTTTCAACATGTTTTATGGCCAAGACATAATGAGATTCAGTGTACACGCAAATCTCGCATCCGTGAATAAAATTATTATTGATGATGATATAGATATTTTTTCTTAATAATAATATTATTTTAAAATTAAAAAATTATTTTATTATATTATTTTTAAATACTTCAAATAAATAATTAATATATTTTTTATTTTCAGGTTTGAATTTTAATATAAATTTTATATAATTATCAATTTCAAATCTTTCAAAATGATTTATATTAATTTATAAAGACATATTTCAAAAATTTATTTAATAAACTGATCTGATCGCTAATAACAAATATTCTTTGCATGTGTTCATTCATCATTATAATTTTATATTGTAATTATTTTAATTAAGATATGTGTTCGTAAGTATTAAAATAAGTGTATGAAATCGAAATATTAATTTTTTTCTTTTGTGATTTTTTTAATTACAGTTTTATTAACCAATATTGTCAATGATATATCATTAAGTAAATTTTCTTCAATACAAACAATCAAATAATTGATGGATAGATATGTAATGAAAATGTAATTGAAATTATGTCAATGGCAATAAATGACAATAAATATAGATTTATACAAGTGGAAAGTTCATTCAAAACAATCATTCTAATTAAAAAATTCTACAATATATAATGTAAGAAAACATATATTGTGTATATACTATAAATTATAACACATACATAAATTGCTATATATAATATCATATATTTTTATAAAAATAATCAAAATAATTTATTTTTTATTATTATTTAATTAATTTATTTTTATATATTATATTAAATATATTAATTTTTATAATTTTAGAACTATATAAATATTTTCATCCTATGTACGTATATTCAGTGTGAAAAGAAACCAGAATTTTTATGCATGTATTGATAATTAAATTCTAATTGCTGGAGTTCAGTTTTGATTTGATGCTGAAAAAAGAAAACTTGGATCGCATAAATAGCTATATACATAAGGTCTTTGATCCTAGTTGACACAGTTTCTATTGAAATGTAGAATACATCATGCGTGTCTACAAACATTTTTACTGATTAAAATGAGAATCATTGATGCTGAAACACCATTTAAACTTCATTTAAACTTTAAAATCGGAATACATTTATATTTTTAACAAAAGATTTTAGATATTTATGCAATTTAAACGATATAAAATTTATTAATATTTATTGATACATATAAAAAAGTGATAAAAATGATTTAAAATGTTATAATGATTAAAAAAAAATTGATTTTATTTCTGCGTATCAGTTTTTATTTATTAATTTATTCAATATTATTGAATTGAATATTGTTCAATTATTTGATAAATTAATAAATAACAACAAAACTTCATTTCTTATTTAAATAGTAATTGACGAAACAATGTTTTAGAAACATTATTCATCTAAAAATGTATAGCTGCCGCCAATGTGTCTAATTATATGCAGACAGCTTGTCTCTCTACCTAATCTGAATACTCAAGTTTTTAGTTTATATTATTTTAATGTTTTTATTCGTTTTAAAATTATAGTTAAATAAGCTTAATAATCAAATATATATTTTGCACCAAAATAAAATACAATACAATAAATGTTTATATCGATCTAATATTTAATATAAGAGCGTATCAAATATCAAATAAATGCAATTAAAATAAAAGAAAGATAAATTAATTCTTTTGAATATAAATTATTTTTAGCTAACAAGACATTTTTTATAAAACAACTATGAAAAGATAGTAACGTAAGGATGCATAGCATATTTGTTGCACGTACTTATATACTATGAAACAGCAATAAAGGGGAAAGAGAAAGAATGCAACGTATTTGCTACGTGACCAAATTAACATTAAGTCCGAAAGAAACAGCTATGTAAGTACTGTCAATCTAACAAGTAATGTGATTCTTATACGCAACAAACAAGCAAATTGTTATATCTTATTATTGATAGATATTTTGTTACAGAAACTACTATAATGACGAAATTAATTACTTTAACGCTTTAATAAATATGCTTTTTTTTTAGATTCGATTCATGGACAGAAAATTGATTCGTAACTATGCAAATCAATTGAAACGTCCATTTCTTCTTTTTTTATTATCGTATATTCTTGCGGTTGTCATCGAGAATTCGAAGAACCGCAGCGAATCGTGAAAGCAGACACTGGTACGTGATCGAAATGCCATAACTTTGGCACGAGATCCATGAATACCAGCAAAATTCGTGACGGAACTCGGATACGTTGGTCGAACGATTCCTTGTGCTTATCACGCATTTATGAAATTCTGGTTCTTACTGGATATACCTGGTCGTATACTTTCAATTAGCATGTTCTAATCCTGTATGCTTATTATTTGAAATGAAGATGTCTCCAATGATTTTTGCAAAGTACAATTTGTAGATGAATATGATCTATAAAATATTGAATTACAGAACGCAGGACATGGAATATGCAAAAGATGAAATATGAGATAGAAATTAGGAATATTAAGATTGTTTGAAAATTCATACAATTACATAAAATGCATTTTTATTGGATTTCATAATTCTAATTTCAAATCGTGATATTTTTTAAAAGAAAGATTATTTGGTTTCAAATACATATGCAAGTGCAAAATGAGACGTGAATGTTCAATAATACTCATAAGCAATAAAGATATATAATATTTATTTTCTGGTTAATGATGCAATCGGTCTTGCAAATTTTCAGTCATTTTTTCATTTTTTTAAACTTACCAACAAAGTTCTCACGATGTTCAATATTTCTCTATAGTATTCTAATATTTTTTTAATTTTGAAGTTAATTTATTTTTCAATATTTTTATAATAATTAAACTAAGTGACAATTAGAATTGCCTATTATTTAATGAAAAGATCTGAATAAAATAAAAATTTTTGAAACAAATTTAACATATCCATTATTTTTCATTGGTAATAATATATAATATAATAATATATTATTAAATATATAAATATATTATTAAATATATTGTTAAATGTTTAATATCTTGTGAAAAATATTTGAATGCTTTTTTGATATATTATTAATTGATTGCAAATATAATTTCTCTAATAAATAACTTCGACTAATTTTGCAAATAAATTTTATCTGATTATTATTTAAATAAATTCAGGAATTCCTAATTATCCTTAGAAATTCTATTTCTATTTTCTAACCGTCTTTTTATTATATAACTTACAAATAATCACATTTCTTAGTTTTACTAATTAATAAATATTTGATATTAATAACAATTCAATTGATTAATGTAGTTGGTTGTAAATTCAAATCTAATTATTTCAATATTCCATTTTTCTTTTAATAAATGATAAATTATAAAAAATTCATATATAAGATAAATAATTTATTGTTCGAATAAAAAAATAGAAAAATAGAAAAATAACATGCATAACAATTAACAGGAATAAATCCTATCAAATAAAGTGCATTAACGTTGATACATTTTAGAACCTGAAAACGAATCAAAATCGTTAGTTTTTCAAAACATCTTTTAAAAGTGAATAGTCACGGTGAAAGGTTTCGAAATGGTCATAAAATAATTATGTCAAACTTGATTTAAACGCGTTTCACATTTTATGTAACTTTCATCGCTTTATACAAAGTAGAAGTCAGAATGCAATTATCTTATGCAAGATAGAAATATTCTTATTTCAAAAAACAAAGAGTTTCTGTGATATTTAAGAAATACATATTAGAAAAGGATTTAAAATGTATTTTCAGAGAAAAGCGATATTTTTTACCGAATAATCGGAACACAGAGGTACTGGCAAAGATTCTTATTCGTTCGTTCGTCGTTATAAATTTAGATCTACGATATACCGGGTTCCACGAATGTAAGCTTCATCAACGATGACTACGACAAACGGAAATATATGTGTGTAAGAGAGAGAGAGAAGAAAACACTAATAAACTTTCTCTATATATGATTAAAAAATGAATAAATGATAAATTGATAAGAATGAATATTGATTATGAAATGAAAATAACATATATATATATAAAATAATATAAATAAAAAATATATATATATATATTATAATAAAATATTAGTATTGATTAACGACAATAATATGTAATATTGAATTCATAATATATATAATGTATTCGATGAGAATCTTCAAAATAAATAAAAAAACGTATTCTCTTTTCAGGAATAAATTTTCATTTCATATTATTACTAAAATTTCACCAATCATATCAAAAATTTGAAGATGAAAATTTCATTATGATATACTTCATTTTATTGTTTTTATTTGATATTTGATAAAATTGACATATAATTTTATTTTCTATTGAAATTTTTTGTCTATTTTTTTTAGTTAAAATGATCTTTTTTAATAATTTTATTGTATAAAGATTATATTAATTCAAGGATTATATCATAAATAGTGGATCATAAATCATGTTGGCATGCCTGTTGGGAAATAGAGCAAATGATGAGCCAAATGTCATGCGAGAAGTAACAAGAATTATCTTAGAAAACATGAAGATATAAAAAAAAAAGGCTAAAGAAAAAGAGAAAATTAAATATTTTATTTTTTTGACGTTTTTATATCTTTTGACGTAAAAAATAAAATTTTTTACAATGAAATTATTCTATTCATAAACTGAGAAATATAAATTAAACTATAAATTTATTAACAGATTTTTCTCGATTTATTCAAAAATATAATCGATTTATTCATAAATATAATAAATTATCAATAAATATATGATAAATATATAATAAAATATTATATTCTGTGAAATCTATTCCCTATTTAATAATATGAAATGAAAAAAATAACTTCTTAATTCTTATGATATGTATCTTTCAAAAACATTTTAAATTCTCTTTTACAATAACTATTTCCTAAAATAATGTTTATTATCTAATATTAATTGTATATTTGATATCATTTCATTTTAAATGGAAATTAATTTTAACGATTCTCATCCTGTATTATTTTATTAGTTTATCAATAATACAAAAAAAAGAGAAGGAAAAAAAACAAAAAATCCATTTGAATAATTTCGAAATAAAAAATTAGATTATGAATAGTTTCTTAATCTACTCACTGCAGATTTTTTGCCAATAGCGCTTGCATCGCTGTAGGATGTAACCTTCATGTAAGGACTGGAAACGGACATCGGTACAGTGATCATTTTTTCGTCTTTTATTTCTCCACTTTTCTTCCATTCGCCCACAAAAATCGAATGCGAATTTAATCGTCACGATAGATTATAATATATCACTCAAATAATCGAAATTTTGACACGTTTTCTCGATCACTTCTGATAACAAAACTTTTCTCAGAGATCAAGAAAATTCTTTTGATATGAAAAACAATGTTTCTTAAACGAATTTATTATTTTCTCATTCCACATTAATTACTAATTATCAGACATATTATAATCTTTCTAATTTATTATTAAAAACTTTATTCATTTATTTATGATGGTTCCTTGAATGCTTGAAATGAATGACAAGAACGATTTTAAAAATTTTTTCAAACAAAATTCACTATATTGATAACGAATAAGAAATGATTTTTCAACTGAATTTACAACTACTTTAAAGATTATTCATAATATTGAACAATTGCTATAATATATATTATCACGTTTAATCTCGAATTTTCCATAACAAATTTCATAATTTAATTACTTTTTTCAATATTCTTTTAATATTTTCACAGTAGATTGAAAAAATTTATTTATTTTTTTTTATAAAGTTCAATAATCCGAATTAAATTTATTAAAAAAGTGTTTATCATTTTATTTAATACAATTTGATATAGTTTTAATTTGGTCACCAAATGGATTTTCTGATATCATTTTCAAATATTCTATTCTAATTCGTTTGTTTTATTTAAAGTTACACACGGATATTTCTGAAAGAAATTTACGATGTAACTATCACAAGGCAAGCATGACACTGATTTAATCATGGATTAGCGTGCGAACTTTCTTAGTTCTATCGAAGCAACGTGTTTTTAGATCTCCAGACTTTTGCACACCTTTACCGACAGACGAACAAACATCGACTGAGCACGTTTCAGTACCTAAGGTTTAAAGGAATGAGTGGATCTTCCCTATTGGTTGTCGCATGTCTACAGGTAATGCTAATAGATTATAAAAAACACTAAAAGCGATCATCATAATGGATGCCAAGATGGATATCATTTTATTACCAAACATTTGCTCTATTTTATTTATTCTTTACGTATACATTTCATTTCTTATATGTTTATTATTATCGCAAAATATTATAAAATAATTTATTAAGAAGATATGGATAATTTCATATATTTTCTAAAAATGATTTATATTTTTTTGATATATTTTCTATGAAATGATAATTTAAAAATTAATTGATATTTTTAAGAAAACAATTTTTCTATATATGAAATTTTAATGGGAACAGAAAAAAGATCAATTTAGAAGTTATTTAATATTTTAGAAATTGAAATTAGATTTAATTGTTAATTATATTTATATAACATAAAATCATAGAATAATTGAAAGACAAAAATGCAATTATAATTTCAGAAATTTTTTTTTTATTTTCTCTGTGAGAAGCAGTAGCTGATGTATGTAAATGATGTGTATATGTGAAAGATGTTTAATAATTCATTAATCTCGTATTATCATTGTAAGGTATCATTGTATGTTTGTTAAATCGAGAGTGAAATTATACGAGACAGTAATAATCATATCTATGACTCATTATTTTCTTTAAGAAAAAGAAGAATCAAATAATTACAAATTAAAAATATGCGTTAAATGCGTTATGACTTCATTTTTACATGGATTGTATTTCTATTTGGATTTCACTTTAATAAATTTATGTATCTTTCATTCATAACAATATACAATTTAATTATCAATTAAAGAATATTTAATGAATTCGTCATTCGATATCTTCTTGTTTTCGTATCAAATAATATATAATTTTCGATTACATTATATAAATTCTTTAATCTAAAATGTTTACAATGAAATTGGATAAAAATAAATAATTGATTTAAAAATTTTTTAATTAATTAGTTTCCAATTTTTTTGGAATATATTTTTTATTAATTAAAAAAAAATGAAAATATGAATATAATACATATTAAATAACAATCTCACTTATACTTAATATATTTGAAATTAAGTTCTTGATAAATATAACGTTATTTTTATCATGTTTAACAATAAATAATTATAATGCACAATTGATTTTAAATATAGAGGAGCAAGATTCTAAAAATAAAAAAATTCGAAACATGAAAACGTAAAACGTATAAATACTATGTGCCTTTTTAAAGTATTTATTTCAATTTTTTAGATAGATATTGCACGTGTTTGAATACTTACATTTTACGAGCTCACTATTCGTAAACAATATGATTTGCAAGTCAAATAAGACTCGTTCGATCGATGAAGTTTTTAAATCTTTAATATTATTCTGGAAAATTTGATTTATTTTCATGAACTATTTTAAATAAAAACTTTTATATTGTATTATTCGCATTGTATAAAATTTTTAACTCATCAATTTTCAAAAAT